ATGATGAATTTGAGTTTAGTTGCATTTTCAGTTAGGTTTTTTGGATTGTGAGTTTGATTATGATATGAGATGATGTGGCTGTAATTTCAAATGAAGTTAACTTTGTAAACTCATTGTTTCCTTTGTGAAATCAATTTCCATGAATGTATGAGATTCATTTGATAGGAAAAGGACATCATTATTCCATAATCATGATACTAAGAGTTGCAATAATAACATTGTTTTTCTTGATAATAGTAATATTAAATATAATTAGCTGACCACATAGAAGAAATCTTCTTCATTAATGTTTGGTTGGTAGCAAACTATTGAAAACAAAAGGAGAGGTATGGGCAGCATTATACTCCTAATTAGTTTAATTTCCAGCTGCATTTTCTTTTTTCCCAAAAATCAGATCTTTTGAAAGTTTTTTACCTCTCTTTTTCAAGAATTTCAGAATAATTAGGGCTTTTATGAATGAAGAAGGAGACATGAGTTACATTTGGATACTGGATTGCACGTGCATCAGTTACTGAACATAGTTCTTTTTCGAGGCAAAAGCAAAGTAACGTCTAGCCTTACGTTATACAGTCTGGTCTACTCTGGACTGGACTAAACTCACAGTTTTGCTGTTTCTCTCTCCTTCTCTATATCTTTCAGAATTCTAAGAATTTAGATTTCTGCAAGTAAGGAAGGAATTAACTTATATATATTGATAGGATAAAAAAAAGTACATATTACAATATGTACTTTATCAAGTTCCACTTTTGATAATATATCGCAATTTTAAGGTTTCAAATTCCACTTTTGATAACATTTGCCTGTTACTTATTAGATAACTTGATAAAGTAAAAGTTTTAAAATGCTATATAGAATTTAAACTGATCATTTAAGAATAGCGTGGGAGAAAGATTAAAAATGCAATGTGTTTCTTTTAGAAATCTCCTAAACTTGAAGGGGAGTTTTGGCGCGATAGTAAAAGTTGGCGTCGTTTGACGAGTTCACGGGTTTAAGGTGCGGAAACATATTGTAGAGATGCAAGATAAGGTTACTTGCATAAGATTCAATGTGGTCTAATACTTTCTCGAATGCCATATATATTGCGGGAGTTTCGTGCACCGGATCTCTTTTTTTATTTATAAAGACACAGCTCAGATTCTTTGCACTACAGAATACAGATTATAAGCAAAGGAATAGAGCTCCCCACAACACACTCCCCTAGTCACCACATTGTTTGCTTTTAGTGCAACACACCATGCATGTATAGTCATGTGTAGTTGTAGTAGAAATATTCAGCATCTCTTAGTTTTGAGGGATTCAAAGCCTTATCCATTCTTTCTCTCTCCTGTCCTCTTCTCTCTTTCTCTCTAAAAGAGACATTACTTAGACAAACTCTCGAGGGCTCCTTCAGCTTTTGCTTTTTCCTCTGCACTGTGGATATGAATTATGATCATTCACACCC